GGGGCCTCATTTCACTCTGCCAGACCCTTGTAGGGCGGCCCAGGCTCCCTGCCTGTGCCCTGCAGGCCTTGGGTCTCTGACGGGCTAGGCTGGAGCTAGGGTCCTTCCGAGATGAGGCGGAGGGGGCTGCCAGACACGGCAGTCTGTAGGCACATTCCTGACCCTATAAAAAGACAGCCACCCTGGATGCCAGAGGCTCAGGCTGCAGCCTCACAGGGGACTGCAGCAACCTGAACCCCAGGAATGTCCCAGGGGCCTGGCCTCGTCTGCTGACACCAGAGGGGCAGGCACCACTTGGGAGGCTGGGGAGGGGCTGGCCCACCCCCCACGGGGCAGCACCAGGGCCCACCTCACTGCTGTCACCAAAAATCACCCAGGACTTGGAAGTTAAGCGAGCGGAGGTGCCTTGTGGTGTCATGGTGGAGCATTTTCTAGGAGGCCTGGCCCAGGGTCACTTAATTATTGACTTAACGAGGTTTGTCAGCCACAGCCCTGTTCACATTTCTTTGTTGGCGGGAGGGGCCTGTCCTGTGCATCGTGCGTGCCCTGCTCTCGAGCCTCTGGATGCCAGCAGCACGTGCTCTGCCCGCCACCTGCCCCTGGATTCTCTCCAACCCTCAGTTAGAAGCTGGCTGTGTGGCCCTGAACGTCACCCATCAGAAAGGGTCCCTCGCTGATGGCTAACAGCCCATCCAGCTCTGACATTCGAGGTGCTATTCGAAGGTTCCTGTCAGGTGTTCCTTTCCTGGGAATGCCTCGTCTTGTCTGCACGAGCTCCAGACCTGACCCAAGCCCACAGGCTAAGGCAAAGCACGCCGACCCTTGGCAATGCTTAGGGCAGCCATCCTTTTGTTTGTTTTTGATTAAATTTATTGGGGTGACATTGGTTAATAAAATTATATCGGTTTCCAGGGCAGCCATTCTGTTTCAAGATGGAAGACAACAGACCCACTAAGGTGTGACTTAATACCCTCCGGGAGGGCGGTTTCTTTCCAAACGCGCTAAGGGGGTTGCAATGGAACCGAGGCCCCAAATATGCAACCCTGAAGGGTGTGTGGACCCAGAGCCCTCCCAGATTCAGGAGGAGAGCTGAGCCCGCTGTGGAAGGCTGGGCTCGGACACGCGCCTCCCGTCAGTTCATCCCACTCCTGCCACCCTCGGGGGCTGTTTCCCGCTTGTAGACAAGCAAACGCAGGGTCCCAGATTCTCACCAACTCGAGACAGATTCCCCTGGAAACGGGCATGAGGAGGGGCCGAGGTGGCACCTTTCTCTCCGGCCCTGGATGCTGTGCCCCCCCCCCGCCCGCAGGGAAAGTGCAGGAAAAAAGCCCCCTGAGAGGTGGGTCCACTGTCCTGTCCCCTCGCCGGCCTGGACCACACGCCTCAGGCCCCTGGGTCAGGGCCTTCCCAGAAGTCCTCGTGCTGTCACCACAGTGGCAGCACCGGTTATGGGGCGGGGTTGACCGTCAGAGGCCGGAGTCTGAGACCCTCTGAGAAGACGCCTGTGGGGTGGCCCTGGGCCCGGTAACCCACCTCTCTGAGCCTCAGTTTCCCCGTCTTACAATGTTACCTACCTCGTGGGGCAGCTATGAGGACTAAAATAGCAATAATGGAAAATATTTAGCACAGAACCTGGCATCTAAAAGCACTTAATAAATGGGAAGCATTTTTATTATTATCTAGCTGTTGGGTAAGTACTAAGCAAGCCTCAGTTTTCTCTCCCACAGAACAGAGCGAGGTCGGGAGGGGCTGGGACACCCCGACTCGAGACCATCCCTTCCAGCTCCGGCCTGTTGTGGCTCTTTGGTGTGGTGAGGGTGGACAGGGAGGAGATGGGGCACAGAACCCTAAAAACGTCCTCTGCTGGGAACCCTGAATGGAACCCTCGCAGGAAGTCAATCAGGGTTCTTCTGGGTTTTGTCCAGGAAGGGAAGTGGGCGTTCGGCCCCCTCACTCACTGGCAGCCTTCCTCAGCCTCAGTTCCCACACCTGTCAGGTGGGACCTCAGCCTCAGNGGCTGTTGGGCTGGGCGCCGAGCCAACCTGACTGGTTTCCTTAGAAGCCGAGGGAGTTTGGACCCACAGACAGACACCAGGGGTGTGTGTGCACAGGGGACAGACGCTGTGAGGACACAGGGAGAAGGTGGCCATTGCAATCCCAGGGCAGGGGCCTCAGGAGAAGCCAAACCTGCCGGCACCTTGATCTCGGACTTGCAGCTCCCGGAACTGTGAGAAAATAGATTCCGGTTGTTTAAGCCGCCCTGTCCGAGGTGCTGTGTTGTGGCAGCTCAAGCGGTCTGACGCGGGTCACTCAACGTGCATTATGTGAACCCAAATGTCATGGGGTGGAGTACAGTCTGTGGGAATACACAGGTGGGAAAGGTGGGGAAGTGTGTGGACACTGGAGCCGCGCACGGCCTTTCCAGCTTCGTGTGACGTGAAGGAAGAAGGACCCACAGAGCCTCGCCGGGGAGGGGTGTCCTCCCCCAACACCAGCCACACCCCTGTGGGACTGGCCCCCGAGGTGGCTGCTTCCCGGCACAGCGCGGCTTCCATCCGCCTCCCTCCGGGATGCTGGGGTGGCGGCCGTGGGCCCAGTTCCTCGGGGAGCCCCTCTGATCCCATCGCCCCCCGGCCCCGGGCCTCACCCCAGGAAGACGATGATGAAGTCCAGCACGTTCCAGCCGCTGCGCAGGTAGGCGTCCTGGTGGAAGAGGAAGCCGTAGGCGATGATCTTCATGGCGGCTTCAACGGAGAAGACGATGAGGAAGAAGTACTCCAGCTTCTCCTGCGGGGGCAAGCGGTTCGTGCAGTTATCATTGGTCACTCTCCTTCTGGGGCGGGGAATTGGATGAATATGTGAACAGCCCCCAGAATGCAGGCCCCAGGGGGTGTCCCCTCCCAGCACCCCGAGGACTGACGTAGGCAGTGGGGGCGCTTCTCAGTGCTCTGAATGCCCCCCTGGCCGGTCAGGGTCTTGCCTCACTTTGTTTTTCTGTAGCCCCCACCCCGGCCTGTCCCTCCCGCCCACACCAGCTGCCACCTGAGGCACCAGCCTTATTCCGCAGGGTGAGGGGAGCCGGCGCCCTGTGCGTGGTGGAGCCTGCAGGGCGGAGGCCGAGGGTTTCAGCCCAGCCCGCCCTGCAGGAGGCCTTGCTGATGCCTCCACCTCCTTCTCTGCAGCCCCCGCTCTGCCACCCCATCCTGGGCCCGGGCACCCTCCTTGCTCCTCCGGGCCCAGGAGAGAGCTATTTTTAGCTGAGCTAGGTCCCTGTCGGGGCTCCTGGCTGAAGCTCTGCACCCCAGGGCCCCCCAAACGAGCCCGGCTTCCAGGGGTGTTGTCCAGCCTGCTGCCTGGACCAGGCTGCCGCACTGCACAGCTGCAGGAGGTGGGCAGAGAACGTGACCGGCACCCTCTGGAGCTGACCAGCGCGCGGGTCTGTGCTCACAAGCTAAGCCTGCCCTTACCGTTAGCTCTGCCGCCCACCCGGGACAGCGCACCCGTCCCCCCAGGGCCCCTCCATCCACGCAGCGCAGACTCCGAGTTCTAATTCCGGGAAATGGCCACCCGTCAGTGATTTGGAAGGGAACTGATTTTCGCTCCCCAGTGGGCAGGTGTGGAATGCAGGGGGCAAGGTCCCCCAGCGGGTCAGCGAGGTGGACACGGCCCCGGGCCCCTTCCCACCTTGTTATTCAGACAATTCTCCTGAAGGCACCATGTCCTGTCTGCATAGAGCAGGAAGCGAGGCATATATGGGGTGAGCCTGCTTTCCACACCCTCACCCCGAATTCCTTCTACCAGTTTGTAGTCCCAACGCTTTCTCCTCCCAGAAAACAACGGGTGGTTAAAATGCAAAGCCGCACCAGTCTGCTCAGGACCCCGGGTCCTGTCATAGGGACTGTGCTTAACGAAGCCCTCAGGGTGGGGGTGGGGCAGTTGTGGGGCCCCCGCTCCACAGAAAGGGGCTGCCAAGGGCAGTCTGGGCACCCTCCCAAATGGGGGGGGCATGGAGGGTCTCCTGGGAATGGGCGGTGGTCCCATTCCGCTGCAG